AATTATCAAAAGATAAATGAATCGAGTAATCGTGTTAATTATTTGACCAAGAAAGAAAAAAGAGAAATTAAGATGAAATATTTAATATTAATCGAAATCGATATCTGTTTTATGAATAATTGCCAATAATTTATGAATAATTGATCGTTGAAATAATTAGCAGGTGAATAATTGAAATTAGAGGACATTTATTTTTAATTTTGCAGTAAATTATATCTTTCATCCTAAATAACTTATTATTGATTAATCGAAAGAAAGAAAAATATTATATAAAATATATCGATATATAGGATTTATAGAATTATTATTTCAATAAACCATCTCAAAATATAAACGCGTTAATTTAATAAAGAAATACTTATAAAGAATATATTCTAAAAGTTAAAACAAGTATAATAGTTGTTATACGAAATTATCGGTTAAATTTAAGCTAATTTATTTATTAAATTATAACCAATTTAGTGCTTGTGTTAGATGAAGCACTATAGAGACAGAGCAAGATGAAGATAAAACTATTTTACTTTATCTCTATTTTGTGCAAACTTTTATTGCTTATAATTTAATAAATTAATTATTCAATTCTTCAATTAATTGTATACCAGCAACAATCGATCGTTTAAAGATCTACGAATATATTAATATCTTATATATATGAAAAAATTAAATCTAATCAAATAAGAAATGTAAAATGTAAAATACGAATTTCATTTATAAAATAAAGTAACAAGAATGACAGAATTTTACATACTATTACATTTGTAATAGTATCTTATTTTATATCTTTATATCTTTTATAAAATATAAGAAATATATATTTATATACATAAAAATAGAATCAAATAAACTATATTAAAATTTTTAATTAATAGATAAGATAAAGAAAGCAATAAAATTAATCAAACACTTTTATACCGTTCCTAAATATATGAATTTTAAAATAAAATAAAGATAGAGAAGGACAGCAACTACTAAGAAAAAGACAAAGATAGAATAATATGAATAAAAGTGACTTTCAGCGCCATCATGTGTTGAAAACATTTCTTCAAAGAATCATGTTTCAAGAAATGCTCGACAGATGTCGATAGCTTTTAATTCCCATCCTACTTTACCTTTGGAAAGATATTTTGTCTTCAATAGATGGCACTGATAATCAATTCTTATTTTACCTCTTTCTCCTATTTGTTATCCTTACCTGTAATAATTTCGTTTGCGGCACTCTGAAGATGGCGCTAACATCCACTTTTTTATTCTATTACCGACCTCACATTATTCCTAAGTTTTTTCTATCACATTAATTTAATTTATAGCACTGCAAACGGAACTGATTTCTCAATTTTACACTTTCTGTTTTTCTTAATTACTACTATCATATAGTAGTAATTAAATAATTAATTAATAAATAAATGAACAAATAGATAAATAAGTAAATAAATCTGTCAAAAAAAACCATATGAAAAAATAAATATGTAGTAATATATAATAAATGATAAAACAAATAAAAAAATAAATAATGATTAAATAATTCAATAAATAAAATTATATAAATGAACAAATAAATAATAAACAATGAACAAATAAAATAATAAATATGTAAAAAAAAAAAATATAATATATATATGATTATATTAATTATATAATTACATATATATATATATAATTTGTTAAATATTAAAAAATAAGAATTACTTGATTAAGACAAATCAAAAATCTAAAATTAAAGAAAAATAAATTAAAAATAAAA